GATCCCAAAATGATTAAAACTACATCAGAGTTGGAACAATCAAGTTTGTGTACGAGCAACGTCTGCTACAAACAAACACTTAAAGTTTGTTTCTAGGAGAGGAAGAAGACATCACTCCAGAAGAACCATAGAAAAGACAGATTACAGTTTGTAGATGCACACAGGGACAAAGAGCTTCATCAGTGGAGACATGTCCTGTGGTCTGATGGAACCAAACCTGAACTGTTTGGCCTTAATGACCATCGGTACATCTGGAGGAAAAAGGAGGAAGCTGGAAGCCTGAGAACACCATCCCAGCTGTGGAGCACGGGGGTGGCAGCATCATGCTGTGGAGGGACTGGTGACCTTCACACAATAGATGGCATCATGAGGAAAGAACATGATGTGGAGATATTGAAGCAACATCTCCAGACATCAGCAGGAAGTTACAGCTTGGACACTAATGGGTCTTCAGATGGACAATGACCCTCAGCATAGCACCAGATTAGCTACAGAGAGGCTTCAGGACAACAGAGTCAGTGTTGTGGAGTGGCCATCACAAAGCCCTGATCTCAGTCCTGGAGAACATTCATGTTCAGAGCTGTAATTACATTCTGCGACCAGCAGATGGCAGCAAGAGACCGTCCAGAAATCAGCTTCTGAACACAGAAACAGACTCACACACTGAATATAAGATCCATCCTGCAGCAGACACCAGACTCATGTCAACATCTGTCTTCTTCTACCCATAATCCTCTCTGCTTTGCACTCTTTTAAACGACAGGGAATCTATTCAGCAACTAAACACTTCAACAAACAGGAAGCACAGAGGACGCTTTGGTGAAGTTAAATGCACTGATTGATTGTTAATGACAGTCTGTCAACTCTTCTGTCTGCCCTACAACACTCACACATGCCGTCTAAAGCCTCATGCACATCGTTTTTATCTCACGCTCCGTTAGTTTTGCATCTTTCAACATCTCTGTTAACAAATTCAGGCTTCCTGTTCTACATCAGATTTATCAGAAATATGTAGAACGTCTTAAAAAACATCAGCGCTGCTTCTTCGAGTTCAAATTAAAACATGTAATTAACATGTAGAATAAATACGGATGTCTCCATCAGGATGTTGTGCCCCAAGACACATAATGTTTGTCTCAATCTGACCCCGTTTTCCTACATAAAAGTCACTTTAAATACATTGAAGTCACTAAAATTCGTCCAATTTATATGTCTGACAACCGAATATCTCTGCAAGTAAAAGTTGTTGTAAAGTACGGAGCCCCAGAAGGGACATGGAGAAAGAAAACAAAAAAAAACGGAGCGGAAAAAAAAATTAGAGGTATCTTTTGCGAGATCTTGCAAAAGATACCTCGAAAAAAAAATTCTCCATCTCCCTGTTTTCTTTCTTTCTGTCTCCATGTCCCTTCTGAGGCTCCGTAGTAAAGCTCCAGTAGGACATTGTCTGAAGTGCAGCGTTAGAGGCTAGAAAACCTGTTTCTTCTCTACATGATACCAATAAACGTATCATAGACCAGCTGTAGTACCTGGTTGTTCCACCAGGTGGAGCCTCTCACTGTTTAATCCTGTAGAGACCAGAGGAGGCGTCACTCAGACTGCAGCTCATGGTGGCAGCAGAGAGCATTGTGGGAGTTTAGCAGCAGCGGGACCATGACAGAGACTCTGAGGAGGTTCAGGACCTCCGACCAATGAGCTCATGTGTTTACGATAAACTGAAACCAACAGCTTTCTACATACAGAAGGTGTGTGAATGTGTAACAACGTCATGTGTTTGTTGACTGAAGCAGCATTTCTAACTCAGGACGAATGCCCACTTTGGTAAATTTAACGTACATTCATCTGCACCGACTCATGACGCTGCTGGTTATTGATGATGAAGTCGTTAAGATCTGCGTCCTCAGTGTTCTGCTACAAATCATCTCTGTCGCTTTATGTCAAAACACATGAACAAAGACTCGGGCCCAAGTTCCTGTAGACACCAACGAGTCTATTTAGAAGTTATCCTGATGTTTGGGACTGAAATGAGACACGCCTACATATAGACATCTAGAAACTCTAGTTTTAAATGAACCTTACGACCTTCAGCTACCATGAAAACGTCTTTCTTCTCAGATGTAGAAGTTGCTGTTGGTGCAGCTGAACCTCATAACGAGGAGGTCTGGGTCAGTGGTTGGACCAATGAAGCATTCACCACATTTTGCTTGTTTCCTACAAGTCAG